CGGCTGGCAGTTATTTCTCCGCCATTCATTGCTGTCAGCTGGGCCATTAAAAATATATCTTGTTCAGATCTAGAGAGGGCTTGAAATGCTTCACGTAATTCGACAAACTTTTCTCTCGAAATCTTTTGAGAACAATCACAATTGCAACCTATCTCTAGGAAGCGCATGGCGTTTTCATATTCAGTCGAACCGTTATAATTGGAATTTTTCAAATATGGGTAATCCTATATATATTTTTATCACATCTTAGATCTTTACTGTCAATAAGTTTGCACAAAAGCCACAAGATCTCAATGTTGCTGAGAGAATAATCCGTTTTTAAAACCCAATTATAGTTCTTTACACATGGCCTCAACTTAAAATTTCAGGATATTTGAAACTTGAAAGAGAAATTATTGCCAACTTATGTGTTAATCATTGAGTTATGGCAATTACGTAAAATGTGCAGACAATCCATTTATTGTCAATTAATACAATTGCAAACTAAGTACAATTAATAGCAGTTCAGAAAGATGTGGGGTAGCAAAAAAAGCTCACATGGCATATAAGAAGACTAAAGAAGAGTTCACCAGATACATTATGGTGGTTCCAGTTGGTAAAAGCAACACCATTTTCTTTCTTGTCAAATAATAAAATGGTGGTTTACCTTGGTTGAAAAACCATTACATTATTATGATCATAATGAGCAAATTATGTTGTGCAGTATTTACACACATGCTGTCATGTTATCAATGAGACGTGTATTTAAAGTGACAATCTGGGTTTCTTCGGAACGCGACGACGTTTTGTGTTTAATCCATGAGTCTGCTCTTGCAGGATTGCGATAATGTATGTCGCGATTTTCTTTGTTTCCACCTTCATTATTTCAGCATCACTGAAGTTGCACGATTGCATATTAGATACATATAGAACTGGATCGTTTTCTGTGCCTGCCCATTGCAGGAATAACCAGTTTCGGGCATTTGACACAATCCCATACACCATAACTGGAACTTCCTCAGAATCTTCCAAATCTGTGTCTTCTCGCTTGCGCTTGCTTAAGCTCTCTACGGCACTGTGCATTTGCACTATGTTTTGAGCTGCCCCTTTGTCGAAATCCATTTTTTTTACCTCTGTTACACATATAACGATGTCGTCTAAAACGACTGTATAGTCTACAGGACCAAAGCCACGGCTCCCATTAAGCTCATATTCAGCTCTAAGTGCAAGAAGCGGTTCCTCTATTTGTAAATGCTTTACTGCTGTGGTTAAAAACGGGGAGATAAACTCTCTGCACGTCATTTCGTTCCTCGTCACTTCGCCGAATACATCTGCATTTTTTTGAAGCTCGTCTATGAGCAGCTTAAAAGTATCGTCGCTGACTTTTATTTGTCCGAGTAGTTCGTCCAAGTTCAGGCGAGGGGCGCTGTTGAGTGATGACCAACTGCTTTTGTGCAAGATGTTCTGGAGGACATCACGCAGGTCCCATTCCCCATATGCCTTCTTACCCTTAACCCGTATGGATATGCTGATCTGGCGCTTATTATTGTCATCAGTTGAGGCATCCTGAATGACGCTGTTGAACTGAAACTCGTTGGTTATTTCTTTTTCAACCGGATCCTTGACCACGAAAAAAAAATCGGACCCATCCAGTGGAGAAAATCGAGCTAGAGCAGCAGCACGCAAGAGATGCCAAAGTCCACTGGAGTGCGGCCAGTCCTGCCTGAACCAGCTGTTCGACAGATTGCAGCGGATCACGATCGTGCAGTCAGAGAATGGATAACGAACGACAAGGGGTGACATAGCTGTAGTGCGGATAGATGTAATGAGAGTATCTTTTCGAAGCGGTTGCGTGCGGTTGTCACTGGACAAAAATTGTATCTTGCCTGGTGGAATGGACGAGTGCTTTTCTGGAAATGCCTCTTTGATGCGAGGGATAAGGCCGAATAGATCTTCTATGGCTGAAGCATCTACCTTAACAGGGTCATCCTGACCTTCAAGAAGAACCCACAGCCAACTGGACATCGAGCGAATCTTTTGACGATTTTTGTTACTCAAGGTAGGAAGCCGACTGTGTCCACTGGACATACAGCAGTTCAAAACAAGAGGTGATATCACTTAGGAACAAAGTAAACAGAATAAAGGTTTATGTGGTCCGTTCCTCTTTTGCTTCTTTCAGCGTAACGAAGTAGTTGAACTATTCAGGTTACCAAAGAATAAATTTTATGCGGAGAATGACAAATTTTGGATTAGGTCGCTAGAGTGCTGCTGTCCGAGTCAATAATAAAATTATGGGGTGGCGTTCTAGAGCATTAAATCAGATTGCCTGATTGTTGCATTGTACAGTCAGGGATTATACCAAAAAAGGAAACGTGTTCTAGAATGATCTGCAGACTAATTCTTGAAATATGATTGGCT